GGAGTTAAATTTAAGACAACGAAGATGGGTGGAATTCTTAAAGGATTATGATGTAGTGATCGATTTTCATCCGGGGAAAACGAATGTGGTAGCGGATGCCTTAAGTCGAAAGACGTTTGCAGCCTTAAGAGCTTTGGATGCCATACTATCATTAAGAGGAGACGGTGCCATATGTGCAGAATTGACTCTCAAGCCATCATGGCTAGATCGAATTAAAGAATTGCAAGCTAGAGATGAAAAATGTTTAAAGAAGTTATAGCAGATAAGGAATGGAGAGGTTACGGATTATGAAGTGAAAGCTGATGGGAACCTATATTATCAAGGGAGGCTAGTGATTCCAGATGATGATGAGTGGAAGAAAGACTTGTTAATGGAAGCTCATTGTAGTCCATTGACTATGCATCCGAGAGGAAATAAAATGTATATCTCAAGAGTCGATATTGGTGGCCTAGAATGAAGAGAGACATTATGAAATTTGTATCTAAATGTTTGACGTGTCAGCAAGTCAAAGTTGAACATCAGGTTCCGTCTGGAATGTTGCAACCTATGTCTATTCCTCAGTAGAAATGGGAGAATGTAACAATGGATTTTGAACGGGGTTACCTTTGACCCCAAATAAAAGAGATTCCAGTTGGGTGATTGTAGACAGATTGACTAAGTCAGCTCATTTTATTCCAATACGAGTTGACTTTTCCATGGATAAGTATGTTGAGTTATATATCAGGGAGATTATACGTCTACATGTTGTACATGTTTCTATTGTTTCGGATCGAGATCCTAGATTTAATTCATGGTTTTTGAAATCATTACATGAAGCATTGGGAACTCGATTGAACTTTAGTACAACGTTTCATCCACAAACCGATGGGCAATTCGTGAGAACAATCCAAATTTTGGAGGATAAGTTGAGAGCTTGTGTTATCGAGTTCAAAGGATCATGGGAAAGGTACTTGCCTCTTGCTGAATTCGTGTACAACAATAGTTATCAATCAAGCATCAAAATGACACCTTATGAAGCTCTTTATGGAAGAATATGTCGTACGCCTCTAAATTGGTTCAAGCTTAAAGACAAAAAAATTCTTGGTCCGGAGTTGATCCAGGAAGTGGAAGAAAAGGTTCAAGTAATTCAAAGTAATCTTAAAGGAGCAACTGATAGACAGAAATCATACGAGGATCTAAATAGAAAAGAGATCAAATATCAAATAGGAGATAAAGTGTTTGTCAAAGTGTCTCCTTAGAAGAAGGTTTTGAGATTTGGTCGAAGAGGAAAGTTAAGTCCTCGATTCATTGGACCTTATGAGATTGTAAAGAGAGCTGGACCAGTGGCATATCAATTGGCATTGCCACCTGAAATGGAAAAGATTCATGATGTCTTCCATGTCTCAATGCTTCAGAAGTATAGATCTGATCCCTCCTATATTTTGACTTCAGAAGAGATCGAGATTCAACCAGATTTAACATATGAGGAGGAACCGATTCAAATTTTAGCTCATGAGATTAAGCAATTAAGGAACAAGACTATTCCATTAGTCAAAGTATTGTGGAGAAATCACAAAGTAGAGGAAGCAACATGCGAGTCTGAAGAGGATATGAGGAATCAGTACCCTCATCTTTTCGTGCAATGAAAATTCGAGGACGAATTTTCTTTAGGGGGGAGATTTGTAACATCCTCAATACCGGGTTAGTGACTAAATTGTAAAAAATCAGAATTTGATGACTAAAACAGAATAATTGAATAGTATTGTAATTTGGTATAGGGTTAAATTGCAAAAAAGAAAGAATAAAAGAATAGAATGGTCTTTTGCAAGGAAAATAATTAAAGAATGGATTTATATATTAGCTCCACGTGGAAGAGAAGAAAGAAAAACAAGGTTCCAGAGTTCTCTTCTCTTCTTCTCTTTTTTTCTCCTAAACGTGAAGATGTCAAAACAAAGGTGAGATTTTTTATGAGTTAATTGTTTGATGAAATTTAAGTTTTGTTTTGATCATTAGATGTTAATTAAGCTTAAGGAAAGCTTAATTTGCTTTAAAAACAAGATGAAGGGTGTAGGAAGAATTAAATATTAGGAGTTCTTGAATGGAATTTTGAAATAGAGTTCATATTTGAAATCGGAGGTTAAATTTGACTTGTCATCGACTTAATTAAGATATACGAAGTGTTAAAATTAGATTTAGAACATGTTGTAAATTGAGGGAGATTCTTAAAATCTATGTGGAGGATTGGATTTTTAAGTTTAAGAGGTATGAATGGGTATTAATGTTTAAGTAGGTATATGCAATTTAAGGATATAAAAGAGGGGAAATATAAGTGTTGAGAAGATTATGAAGAGATTTTCGTGCTAAAAAACATTCTGGGCTATGTGCATCGATGCACATTTAATGTGCATCGATGCATCAAGGGTAAAAACCCATAAATTGTTCAATGTGCATCGATGCACATGAAGTGTATCGATGCACTCCTTTAAAATAAATACATCAAATGTCATCAGTGTATCGATGCACAAGTGGTGCATCGATGCACCCCCTTAAAATACAAACATCGAATGGGATTTATGTACCGATGCATAGATTGTGCATCGATGCACCCGTCAAGGGATGCATCGATACATGGTGTAGTGCATTGATGCATACCTTCATTAAAAGATGAAAATAGCTTTCTTTATAGCCTAAGGAGTGATAGTTTAGAATATATTAATTAGTATACTGATTAGTATCAATGTATTACTATGAAGATATAGAATGTAATTTCGTTCTGGAACAAACAAAGAATTAGGATCAAGTCAAAATAAGCAAGGCCAAGGTGAGTGCATATCCTAGATGAAATGGAATTGAGACAAGACTTGCGATAAGTCTATCTCTTATAATTGAATTTATGATTTTATATTCATGCACATGCATACATATATATGTGTTAATGTTATAGTGATTTCATGCATTTTTCATTCATGATTAACATGGTATTATATGAATGAATGCCATTATCAAAGAATTCTTCAGATATGTGAAATAATGAAAATGATCATATGAAGTGACTTATGTGTTTACATGGACAGTGATGAAAGAGATATGAAATGAGAAATGTATTTATAATTAAGTCCATGTTATTTAATGTGAGAGCTATAGGTATAATTGGCATGCCAAGAGTCGAGGGATCATCAGTGGTTCTTCGGAACAATCAGTGGTCTTTCGGGACATAGTGGTCATTCGGGACAAATAATCAGTTTCCCTTGAGGGAATTATACGAGCTGTGGTGACAACATAGTGCACAACCTCTATGTACTCACATACCTTTGTTCTCTATAATGTACATGGGCAATTCAAAGATAAGTTAAAGTGGAATTAGCATAAGAATATATGTTTTATATGTGCATGTTACCGTCATATATGTTATAGTGAAATAGATGCATACAAATAAAGATGTCATGATCAGATGGTAAGAATGCATGTTCATGAATGCATTGTTATATATATATATATATATATATATATTTATATTATGCCTCACTAAGTCTATGACTTAGCGTGTAAGTGATTTACACATAGGTACCAAGAATTAAGAGGAACAGTAATAGAGGCGGCAAGGACAACATCACTACTAAAAGATCAGATCAGAAGTAATTGACAAAGTAGGTATTTTGGTTGTGTATAGAGTGTTGGCATGAAATAGGTGGTTAATTACGAATGCTCTGATCGATTTTTATTTTGTGGTATCTTTTATGTAAATTAATGTATTTGGTTTTAATGAAAGTTTAAAATTTCCCTATTTTTCTTTAAGTGTCAAAGTTTGAAAAGTCAATGTGACACCTCGGACTCATATTCGGGTCGGATATGGGTTAAGGGTGTTACAATCCTCCCACAGAAATTATGCTATAAAAGATGATCTCCCTGTAGGGACTAAATGACTCTTTTTATAGAGAGCCAAATCCGTAGAAAAAAAAGGTAAATCTCATTTAATAAAGTCTAAATCCAATAAGAAAAGTTAAAATAAAAGAAAAGCACAATAAATAAAATCTTAAGAGATTGATTATTGGTAGACACTTCACAATAATATAAATAACCATAAAGGTGAGTTTCATAATATATTTGACTTCAAAAATTCGGATTCCTCATATCTGATATCAACCACTTGTTAGTCATAAGACGTGGTCAAGCCTTGTTAAAGATGATTTTCTACTCAATTCTACATTTTTTTTCAAAAGACTTGATTCTCACATGGAAAGCTAAAAACATGTTTTTGAGTTGATTTTCACCATTACATTCATATTTCATCTCCTAAATCAAAACAAACATAATTTTCACAACGAAGCTCAAAATATAATTAAAATATGAAGAATTTAATCATAAAACGATGTATATAATTATAACTTATCAAGGTTGTCAATGTCACAAGAAAGATTGAATGGTCTACCCATTTTATGTATTGAGAAAAACATGTTAGATCATATTGATTTAGATACTATTATTAGTGATTTTACATCTAAAATTGTTCATAAAAATTGTTTTGTTTGAGTAGTTAGGTGTTTAATAAAATCTTTTGATATTTTTCATTTAAAATTTGATATATTTATTAGATAGTTTGTTGAGTGTAATAAAAAATACAATTTAGCAGTTAGAGTCATAGTTAGAGATAGCTCCCAACCTTCTCGAAATTCATTTGTTGAAGGTAGAGACGGCAACAATAAGAATGAATGTTACAATTAGGATTAGAAAAAAAGATTCTTTTGGGATAAAAAGGGATATTATATTTTTTATATGAAAATGGTAAAAAAATAAAATTGGGAAGTACATGGTTAAATTTAAAACTAACCCTTTCTTTTTACTTGTCGTGTTATCGAATTAACAGAAGTTAATGACTCAGTAGCCAAAATAAGATAGACTGATAAAATATGTGATCAAATCGTTACTTTTTTAAAATCGGTGATCAAATAAGACACGCCAGAAATAAAAGAGACCACCCATGTTGTTTACCCATAAAAGAATGTGAGCAGTTGAGCATCGCTGCAAGCATATCCAAAAAGATTCCAAGCGACTTCCTTGACGCTATTGCAATCTAATTTTTTAAATATTTTCAAACCTTCAATCGACATCTCCGAGGATCCCTTCTTCTTGTTATAAACCTCCATGCCTCTCACCTTCATCCATTGATAAACATCTAATGGACAAACCACTATGGCTCAACCCTCATTTCCTCCCTCTCCTTTTAACCATCTTCTTCTTCCCTCCATTCCCTTTACAACCCTCTCTTTTGACCGCCTTACAAAGCGATTACGTCCGACATCCGCCTCGAAAAGTCGTCGTCACTCAACACCACCGATCCAAATCCGACCCTCAACAGGTCACCATTTGAAACCACTATTTTCTTATCCACTTTCTTTCAAATATCCAATTTTAATCATTTTTGTTTTACCAATGCTTGTAGGTGCATACATCTCTTGCAGGCAAAGATTACATGCGAATCAGTTGGATTACAGACGATAAAGACGTGCCGTCGGAGGTGGAATATGGGACGGTCTCGGGGCGATATAATGCCATGGCTGTCGGAGACCATACCTCGTATCATTACTTCTTTTACAGCTCCGGGAAGATACATCATGTTAATATCGGACCCTTGGAGCCATCGACGACTTATTACTATAGGTGTGGTGGTCACGGCCCTGAATTTTCATTCAAGACTCCTCCACAAACTTTTCCTATTGAATTTGTTGTGGCTGGTAAGTTGGTATATTACTTTATCAACCAAACCGTTATGTTTCAAAACAAATGAACCATATACAGTAACCTCAAATTGTTATTGGTTCTTGTTAGTGATTGCAATCATATAGGAATACTTAATTTGAAATGTTGGGTAAACTACATAAATAGTCTTCGAACTTTCAGGGTGTTTAAATTTTGATCACCAAATTTTTAAACTTATAATATAATCTTTGAACTTTTAATTAATTTTTATTATTGTCACTGTTGTCAACAGTCGTTAAGAAATGTTGATGTAGCATGTTAAAGTCATGTTATTTCCCCCCAAAAGGCCCTAAGTTTCTCATAAATTCACCTCCTTTTGCTTGCATTGTCGCCATTCGACGTTCTCTCAATCGTCGTCACCACTAAAAATCGTCACCCACCATGTTCGTTGAACCATTCATCACATCATTTCAATCAAGTCTCAAACACCACAACCACAACCATGAGCCACAATCACCATCCACGATCAGGCTAATCTCAAGCCACCATCATAAATCTCATTCAGTCACCGTACATAACCACAACCACTGATAGCAGCAGGCAATAAAGAAAAACAAGTAAAGAAAATTGAATAGAAAATGAGGGAATGTTTCAATGAACGGAGAGGTCATCAGTCAATTCTAATGTGAGAAGGTTCCATTTGCCCATAAAGATTAACATAGTTCATTTTGAAGTTGATTTAATGGTTGACAATGACGAATCGAAAAGTTTTTTCTTTTAGTTTTTATTAGGATTTGAGGAGATTGGAAAGTTTTTCAACAAGTAATGAAAGAAAGAGAAAAATAAGGTAAATTAATTTGGTGATCTTTTGACATGAGAAATCCTCAAACTTCAACAAGAACAATGATGAAAGGAGGAACGATGATTGTCAATTTTATTTTTGAGAAAGTTAGGGTTTTTGGGGGAAGAAATGACTTTAGCATGCCATGTTAATATTTCTTAATGATATCTGACTTAAAAGTTTAGTGATTGCATTACATGTTTTAAAACTTTGATGACCAAAATGCAAGTTTCCTAACATGTCGGGGATCATTTATGTAGTTTATCCTAAAATTATATATAGAGAGAGAGTGAGAGAGAGAGGTGCAATTATTGGTGCAACCTTTAAGGAAAAGCAAAGGCCCCAGCAAGGAAAACCAAAAGTGCACACTTTGTGCATTGCTTCGAAATGGAAATTTCTTGTTGTTGAGAGAGCATATTCCTATCTTCAACATATGACTTTTTTTTAAATGCCGATTAAATTTTTCGTGTTTCTGTCATTATTCTTAATATCATATGAATAATTGATGAACATTAACATTTAATTAATGAAAATTGTGTTACAGGCGACCTTGGACAGACAGAATGGACTGCATCAACTTTATCACATGTCGATAGCAAGGACTACGATGTGTTCATATTACCAGGTGACCTATCTTACGCAGACACACAACAACCACTATGGGACTCATTTGGCCGCCTCGTGGAGCCCTACGCCAGCCGCCGCCCATGGATGGTGACGGAAGGAAACCATGAGATGGAGATGTTCCCAATTATCTACCCTCATGGTTTCAAAGCCTACAATGCTCGTTGGCTAATGCCGTACCAACAAAGCGGCTCAACCTCGAATCTGTATTATTCTTTCAATGCCGCCGGTTCCCATGTCATAATGCTAGGGTCTTACACAGATTTCGACGGTGATTCGGCTCAATACAAGTGGCTTGAATCTGACTTGGCTAAGGTTGATAGGAAGAAGACGCCATGGGTGGTTGTGGTACTGCATGCGCCATGGCATAGCACTAATTTGGCTCATAAAGGAGAAGGGGAAAGCATGAGAAAAGCCATGGAAGATTTGTTGTACAAGGCACGAGTTGACGTGGTATTTTCAGGCCATGTTCATGCATATGAACGATTTGTAAGTCACTTTAAAATAATATTTTTGGGTTTTTTTCTTTATAATATTATTGATAACTAAAATTACTTTTATATGTGTTAAATTTGTTGCAGACTAGGATTTATGATAACAAGGCTGATCCATGTGGGCCGGTATACATAACCATTGGTGATGGAGGAAACCGAGAAGGACTTGCATTAGTGTAAGCAAAATCTCGTCCCGTGATCCCAATAACATGAATAGATAACGTAGAATTTTAGTTACTTAAAACCCAATACATTAAACTATGACTATCATTCTAAATGTGTCCTCAATCTTTTTAACATTTTAGTTTCATCCCCAAACTATATCCTTCATTCTAAATCAGTCCCCGAACTTTTTCAATGTTTCAATTTCATAAGTTATATGTATATACTAATCAATTTCCTTGTTAATAAAATCATTATGCCAAGCTATATTATTATATGTTTGAAAAAAAAATGAATTTTAGGTTAAACTATGGTTAAAACTAATTGCATATTTGGATGAATTTGGAGATGAAATTGTAAGATTTAAAGTTTGAGGACCAATTAGTATATAAGTCATAGTTTGAGGATGAAATTAGAATGTTCAAAAGTATAAGGATTGATTTAAAATTAGTATCACAATTTGAGGATGAAACTATAATATTTAAAACTTTAGGAACCACTTTAGATGAGGGTCATAGTTAACTCTAAAATATAGGATAAATTATGTATTTAGTCACCCAATTATTCATGCAATTCTGTTTTGATCACCCAACTAATTTTTTTCAAAATTATACCTAACATTATGTATTGGTTTCATTTTGGTCACCCTCCATTAAAAAATTAATGGTGATGTTGATATGTCACCATAAGGTAAGTCCATGCCAACATTTAAAAAAATTAAAAAAAAAGAAGTCACATAAAAAATTTGTTTATTTTTTTAACGGTGGGTAACCAAAATAAACAAAAACATAACGTTAGGCATGATTTTAAAATAAATAGTTGGGTGACCAAAATGAAATTGCGAAAATAGTTGAGTGACTAAATATATAGTTTACCCTAAAAGTAAAAGTACACATCAAATATTAACTTTAACGTGATAACATTCCTGGTTTAAATCTTAACATGGAGAAAGGAACAAATTATGTTGTGAGGGTCGATTTTATAATAAATTCATTCAATACCCAATCGAAATTAGTCGACCTTTGAATTGGATACTAGTGATTATTTCCCTAATGTGATAATCCAATGGTTTGCAGGTTTGAGAATCCAACTTCAGAACTTTCAGTTTATAGAGAGCCAAGCTTTGGACATGGTCGGCTAAGGGTGGTAAACGAAAGCCGGGCACATTGGTCATGGCACCGCAACAATGATTCCGATTCGTTCGTCGCCGATGAAGTTTGGCTACAAAGTTTAACCACAACCGAATCATGTTGGCTCTATCCAGGAAATACCGATGGCTCGATGGTTAACAAAGATGAACTATAAAAACAAAACAACACGTGATATGTGAAAGATGTCTTTTAGTTTCTCAAATTAGAAGATCGATTAATTGAAATTTCTTTTCTTTTGTAAGGCCAAAAAAATGGATTCAAATATCATGTGTTTGTACTTGTGGGTTATTAAATTTAGTGAAGGCCAAAATAACAAGTAAAATAGTTTGTACGTTTTAGAGTTGTTATAATCAAACGATGGTAATTAGGGCTGTAAATGAGACGAGAAAGATCACGAGCTACTCGAGATCGACTCGGTCAAGGCTCGGTAAATACTCGGATCGAATGGACTCACTCGAGCTCGACTCGAATTCTTAACGAGCCGAAACGAGCTACTTGATACTCGACTCGAAAAGCTCGTGAGCAGCTCGAAAATATAATATATTAAGATTTTATTTTTTAAAAATAAATTATTAATAATATTAACATTTATGAGTTGATTTTTTAAAAAAATACAATAAGGCTTTCATGTATTTAAGGTTCATATTCGAGTTTGAGGATTCAATCTTGTTAAGTTTAAGATTTTTTTTTATTTCGAGCATTTTCGAGTTGCTCACAACCTTCAGTTCATGATTTCGAGTTCAAGTCGAGCTTAAAAGTTTTAAGCTCGTGAGTTTTCGAGTCGAGTAGAGCTTCATTTCAGAGTTTTCGAGTCGAGCTCGGCTCGGCTCGTTTACACCCCTAATGGTAACGACGGAAAAAAAGGGAGAAGATTGCAAGTGAAATAAAGAAAATTAAATAATATTATGATTTTACGTGAAAAAATCTTTCGAAATAAATTACAAGCAAAAGAAAAGGATTTTTACTAATATAAAAAGTAGAAAAATATAAGAGAAATTGGAGAAAAAAATTGATTTTTAACTCTAACCCATAGTATCTATTTATAGATATAGATACTTATTACCAAGGAAACTTGTATAGTAAAAAATCTACTCAAAGTAAGTTTTCTACATAAAAGAAAGCTATAATGTCAAAATTAGACCCAACGTTTACCAATATGGACATCTTGGTCCCTATTCTTTTTTTAGCATTTTGGCCCCTAACGTTTCACTTTAGGACAAAAGGCTCCCTCTATATATGAAAAACATTAGTTAACACACTATTAACGCTCCAAAACAAGAGTTTTTTTAACCTAAAATGAAACATTGAGTGCTAAATAAAGGACAAATTGATTATTCTATCAGATATTAGAGGCCTTTTTTACCTTAAAATTAAAAGGTTGGGACGCAAAATACTCTTAAAAAATAGAATAGGGGACAAAATGATCATTTTGATAAACGTTGGTAGGCTAATTTTGAAATTACGCCTAAAAGAAAATAAGCTTCATATCTCTAATTAAGTTATATATTTACTTTCCCCAATTACCTCTTAATTAATTTTATCAAATCAAATTCGAGTCAAACCCTAACAATCTCTACCTTGACCCAAATTATGAAAGTACAAAGGATTCCAACCAAAATCTCAAATTCGATGGAACACCAAAACTCAACAAAAAAAAGGTCATCACTTCGACGAACAAGTTCTCCACGTTGAGAACATATTCTCCACATCTTTCACGAAAACCCTTAAAGGGATATTCTTCAACAATGAACAATGATCAAGTTCAAGTAATATTCAAATTTGGTTGTAAGAATTGAGTTCGTCAGCATATCTGCATGATTATCATAATTGCTAATCTTACTCACAATAATGTCACATTGAGCAACAATATCACGTATGAAATAATATCAAATATAAATATGTTTCGTTCGTTTGTGAAAAATTTGATTTTTTTGTAAGAAAGGCAGAACTCTGGCTATCATAAATATTGTAATTATATAAGGTCTTCGCTTAGTTCACCAGAGTCACTTTAACTCCAATCGTTTATTTACAGACTGCAGTAATTGTAATGTTCTCAACTTCAGTATTTGATAAAGTAATCTAGTTTCTAAGGTAGCTTTTCAGCTAACGGTGCAACCTCCAATTGTGAAGACATATAAGAGATCTTCCCTTAGTACGAAAATCGTAACATGTACTTAATTTCATTATCTGATTTTAAAGATAAATACGATGAAAGTCTAAAATGATTTGGAGTGCTAAACACATATTAAATATGCTAAGAAATTTTTTTATATACCCTTTTTATCTAGTGGAACTCATTTATTTTTTTGTATCGGAATATTCCCATCCTGAAAATCTTTTTATAAGTCCCAAGTCTTTCATCTCAAATTCTTTATTGAGTTGAACTTTTTTTTTCCTTATCTTTCCTTTACCTTTAGTTACCATTAATATGTCATCTCTATTTCTTTTAAAATAAATACAACTATAAAATTCTTTTTTGAAATTGTAAGTGGTCATAAATAAATCAAACCTCTTGTACCACTGCATGAGTGACCACTTTAGGCCATAAAGAGAGATTTTAAACAAACAAACATGATTCTCCTTTCATAGACTCCAAAACTCTTTGATTGTTGCATGTAGATGTTTTCTTCAAAATCTTTATACAGAAACATCATTTTCATGTATAATTGTTCATGCATATCTACTATACCAAGCAAGGCTCCAATCAAACTATGCTTCCTCGTCGAAGGAAATATATGTGTGAAATCTACACTTGGTATCTGATTGTATCCTTTTACAACCAACCTTACTTTATACACGAGTTCTTTTACTCTAAAAGTCCATTCTTTCGTCTTAAATACCCATTTATAGTGAGCAATTCTTTTATCATCAGCAAGTTTTACCAAGTTTCATATATTGTTCTTACGAAGATATTTCATTTCCTCTTGCATAGTCACCACCTTAAAGTATATTGATGGTTCTTAACTTGTATCTAGGTCTGTTTTGAGTAATAGAATATTGTGATTATGGCTGTAACAGAGGCGTTTACGACAAAGAAATTTGTGGCAAGGGTGTTTCTCTAATTTTTGAAGACGCTTCCACGAATGATCTTGTACCCACCTGAAGCTCCACCTTCTTAGTGTTGTGTTGATTTCTTTTTGTCTTTATTTATAATGTCTTTGAGAGGTGATTCCCGTAAAACTCATATTTTATGAATCTCGACTCTGACTCACCCTTATAAATATGTGCGTAAATAGAAAAAAAAAATCAAATCAAAATAATACAGAAGACGTCCTGATCATATATCGTATGGAGTCTTCCTTTCTTGACATGTGATCTAATTTTTAATTTATTTTTATTTTTAAAATTTTAAAAAAAATAAAATTCATAAATTAAAAAAAAAACTCTAATTTTTTCTATTTTTTTCAAAATACCCCAAAATTCATAAAACCTTAATTCTCAAAATTTTAAAACTCTAATTTCCTATTTAAATTTAGGGATTTGGTGATGATGATGAGAAAGGGATGATCGACAATGGGGATCCGACGACGGGTAGGTAAATGTTTGGCGAATGCGGTGATGGTTGGTGGAGAAAATGGGCTTTGGGATTAAAGATTTTGGTGTTATGGAATTATGTATTTAGAGTTTAGCAAGATTTGAGGATTTAAGTTTAAAATTTAGGGAATTGGGATGACGGTAAGGGGATGACCGATAGTGAGGGTTTGGCGATGGGTGGGTGGACGTTCGATGATGGTAATGAGCTTTAAGATTAGGGGTTTGGGTATTTTGGATTTATGATTTATGATTTATGATTTAAGTTTATGAATTTAGGGGATTGTGATGACGAAAAGGAGATGATCGGTAATGCAGGTCTAATAATGGGTAGGTGTTTAGTGACGACGATAACAATTGACGATGATAATAGGCTTTTGGGTTAAGGATTTTATGAGGGTTTATTTTATAGAAATTTAAATTTTTTCTTAAAAATTAATAATATTAAAATTTTTAAATAAAACTTTCAAAAAATTATAAATACGAAACGTGTCACTTTTGAGTGATTTATGAAAAAAAATTAACGATCGTAATAAAATTTACGTTAAAAATAGGTATATAATGTTTCCAACGTTATACTTTTAAGTATACCCAAATAAGTGCCTAAAGTATACCCAAAGAGCACTTGGCTCTTTAGGGCCAAATTCGAGCCATTTATACCCTCTCTCATACGATGTCGTTTTGGGAGAGGGGCTTGCAAATTATGTTCGTAGTCCCTTAGGTTTTGTAAGGCTTCAATTTTGGTCACCGAATTAGGTTCTTACACATTTGAATTTCGTCTTCAAATTTTATTTTATTTTAGTCCATACCCGTATATTTATATATTTTAGAGTAAAATTATGCATTTAGTCCCTTAAATATTATTATTCTATATTTTAGTCCCATATAATAATTTAGCAAAAATTACATAATTAGTGTACAACTTTAGTATTATTTTGAATTAAGTTAATTAATTTTAATATTTTATGCTTTAAATATTAATTATTATTAATTATACTTTAAGATTATTATTATTAATTTATAATTTGATATTAAATATTATTATAGGACTAATAATATTTATATTAAATATTATTTGATATTTATATTAAACTTTATATACAAATCTATCATTTACTGCAAAGTCATTAATTAATAAATACCGGTACTAATTTTGGGCGTTGTGGGAATCCTAATTCTTTCTCATACTTAACCAACTCCCGAACTCATTTTTCTGTAAGCAGACCCGAGTTGTATTATTTTAATATTATTCTTAGGAATTTTTATTAAAATAATATGACATTTTGGTGACCAATCTCACCAAATTAAATGATTGGTGGCGACTCTACAATTTGGTGTTTCATCTTATTCAAGGAAGATAAACACTTACTTTTTCGAGACTAGTTACACCGTTCGGGGTGTACTATTTGCACTCTCTGTTACCAGGGCAGAGAAACGTCTCGACAGCTTGGCCATTTTGCTGGGGAATTTTTTTTAAAAAATGAGAGTCCATCCACTAATTTATTAATTATTTGTCTTTGCAGTAAATAATAAATTTGTTTTAATTATTTTTATTATTTTACTAATTTTTCTTATGCATGAATCAGATCTAATTTTGGGTTGTATATTACTTTATTTTTATATTTTTCCTCACATACTAAGCACTGCATTCATGACAAGAGCTAAAACCCCGCTCTTATCATGTTTAAGTGAATGAGAAAATATTCCCTCGTGTGGGTTTCACCTCCGTATGGGATAGGGGACCATTCTTTGAGCTCGCACCTTATGTTACTCGTATGGTTTTCACCTCCGTATA